CATGTCTCACAGTTAACGACTTGTGTTTCTGCCTACCACCCATGCCTAATGAAGACATTTTTGAATATCTTTACACATGTTCAGATGTAATATGCTGCAGCAAAAATGGAAAGTAGGCAAACTAAAATAAGTGACTGTTTCGATTGTCATGAAAAAGAGACACAGTAATCTTTGTAAGGCATAATACAGATGATTCAGTAATAGCGTATAAACCTCGAATAATGTGTATGTATCGTATCAAATTTCTTAATAAAGAATAAATAAAAAGTTGAAATTATACCATGGTAGTGTTAATTAGAAAACATAAAAATCAAGCACTTGGAAAAGGGGCTATTTTTTTTCGTCTGAGTTGACCACCTGTATAAATTAGCTACTTTTAATGGAACTGTGTACACCTCGAAGGGGAATAAAAACATAATGGTGTTGTTTTTGTAATAATATTCAATCAATCAACTTTTTTTTTCTTCATAACTGTAGGAGTATCCACAAAGAAAAAGTTCCTATAAACATTAAAAATGGCTATAATTTATTTTTAAAAAAATGTGTCAGTTGGAAACAGTTGAAATTTACACACAAACATATAATAATGCAAACAAGTTGACATTTGGAAGCTAACTGGGGTGCTGGTTCTGAAAAAGTGCAGTTTGGGATTTTGGCAAAACTTATAAGGCAGTGTGTTGATGGGTTTATAATGGTTGTGTTTGTATGCACACAGTATGAACAGCTCCAGTTGCACCAAAGTTGAAATCATGCACAGTGTGAACAGCTCCAGTTGTATTCAAGTTGAATCATGCACAGTGTAAACAAATTGGAATCCTGCACAGTGTGAACAGCTCCAGCTGTACCCAAGTTGAAATCATGCACAGTGTAAACAACTCTAGGTGTACCCAAGTTGGAATCCTGCACAGCGTGAACAACTCCAGCTGTACCCAAGTTGGAATCCTGCACAGTGTGAACAACTCCAGCTGTACCCAAGTTGGAATCCTGCACAGTGTGAACAACTCCAGCTGTACCCAAGTTGGAATCATGCAGTGTGAACAGCTCCAGCTGTACCCAAGTTGAAATTATGCACAGTGTGAACAGCTCCAGCTGTACCCAAGCTGGAATCCTGCACAGTGTGAACAACTCCAGCTGTACCCAAGTTGGAATCAAAGCTTTCAGGAACCTAGTACTAACCACTGGAAATGTCCAAGTTTGCAGCCTGTTTTTCATATCCTAAGATGCTTTTATTTAGATGATGCTTACTTCCCTCCTTTCCTGTTGTGGCATCTTTGTAAGTTCTATCTGTCAGTATTTAAGATTTACAAGGTGATGATGTACCTAACACATACAATCCTAATATTGTAAAACTGGCGAGTGTAAGATTCCCTGTATGTAGAATTTAGGGTTACTAAACACCTGGAAACCAAATTTAATATAAAATTGAGTTGAATTTTATGTTGTCCATACATCAGTGAGTTTCAATGGGATCCAGGATAGGACAACTTTCTGCCTTTCCTGTCTTCAAAACAAGGGGGCCCCCACTTACTTAGAAACAGATTAATGATGATAAGAGTACAGAACAAGTCGGTAATGCCTTCATATTATGACAGATGTACTGAATAGCGTGTTTTATTGTAGTGGTGACTTGTAGGCTACTTAAAATGTTTTTAGTATCACACTTATCCAAATTAGTATATTCAGGTGTTTATTACAATGCTGAAATGTGAAAATGAACACCCGATTTTCACTGTAAAAGTTCGTATATACAAATCATGATTGCCTTATTCTTGACAAATCTAAAGATCACATTTTTAAATTGTAAAAAACTTTGTTGCCACTTCTCACAAACTAGTTAGTAAAAAATAAAATCACCTGAAATTATTAGCAATCTTTACACAGTTTTCCACACAGCATCATCAGGCAGTGAGATCAATTTTTTTTTTGGGGGGGGGGGTAATGTTGTTCGCATTGTAGATTTTCAATAAAAGGTTAGGAAGAAGAAAAAAATAATAATTTTCCTGTTTTTACACAAAAAATTCACTTCACAGTATAAAAAGTGTTACTATTGCAAATGTTCTATTATTTAATGTTGGAATTATTTGTGTGTGTGTGCACCATTGCATTTCTATTTTTATTTTACATGCTAACTTTTTGGATGTGAAACTGTGTTAATTTTAAATGATACAGAGATAAAATAATGTAACCCAGACGAGGAAGTTGCTGTACATTTAATTGTGATTTATCTTCGTACATATACAGAGTATAAAGCTTCTGAATGCTTCAATACCAAACAAATGGGGAAGAAGATTGAAATTAAAAATTCTATACGAGACAAATCATTAATGAGTGACCAGGAATTCATATGAAAAAAAAAAAAAGGAAACATCAGACTAAAACACCACCAGACACACAAGTCACCTTTTTACCATCAGGTTCATATGACTACACATTCTGAGCAAGTTGATGTACGCAAGAAAAAAGTTGTTCTTTTATTTCTTACTGATATATTTTTCACGTTAGCTAGGATCTTCAATCGGGTTCTTAGTCCTGATCTATTGAAGTCTGATGTTCTCATCACTAAAACCTTTCATAACAGACCACTCTTTACAATAACTAGGATAGCATTTTGAAATTAATAATAATAATAATAAAAAAACTAAATACAACTTATGGCAATGTATACTTCCTTTTGCCAACAGGATTAGAAGCTCCATCTGCCAGAGAATTCACAAACCCATCCAACATGTAACACAAATGAGGAACAACCTGTAGCAGCACAAGACTTGGTGTGTACCATGATTTGTGCTTTAATGTGAAGCAAAGCTGCTAGCTATCCAATGTTGTCTGTGGTTGAGTCACTGGAGGGAAAATGTGACCACCAACTATTGAGGTAACTATTTCTTGGTATCTGGATCACAAGACCACTGTGGACAGTGGCTCGAAGCACTACTGCCCCTTACTAGGGGGTTAGCAGCGGACAGTTATTCTAAGACACACAAACACACACACCATACTCCATCTACAGGGATCTCTGTGCGAGTCTCCAGCCCAAAATTTGATAATAAATACAAGTTCCCAGCCTCCCCTTGGTTGGCCATCAGTTTGTTGGCCTTTCTTCTTATTGTTTGGAATATGCTGTGCCATAAGTAAAGCTTGAAGAAAACTTTGTAAAAGTCTTTCTAAGGCTTACTCCTTTTGCTGATTAACACAGCAGTGTCATTGCACTTGTAGATAACAATGCCCAGCTGACACAAGGCCTTTAATTACCAGTGATTACCCAAAGATCAGCTACGTTGCCAGAAGTCTCTCTGTATGGGTAGAAGTCTCAGAACAAGGTTTGTAGTTGACTGAAGAGCATTGATATAAAACATCTGCCACAATGGAGGCTACACCCTGATCCAAGATCTGTGACATCACCAGATTTAACAGACGTGGTTGGTGCTTTGAGAAGAAAGGCTGGTTTTCTGGCACTTGCGACAGACATCGGAGCGTGGAGGCTGCTCTGCGGACCATATCTAGAGTTGTTCCCATCAACTCTGGATTCTTACGCAGGGCATTAATCCCCTGCATGTTGGCCACCTGAAGTGCACTCTGTTCAGCCTGTTCCACAAAAGTAATCAAATGGGACACACACATTTCCTGATTCGCAATGGCTCTGGCTATACTAGTTTCTGCTTGGGCAAAGTTGGACAGCAGAACCACACTGAACTCTCGTAAAACTTGGTCTTCTCGTCGATTCATAGACCTGACCAAGTAAGAAAAGAGCTTCTCTATCCGGCTCCATGGTGGAGTAGCCAATAGTAAGTCCACATTGTTGTCGTTTATGGACAGTTTACACATTGTCTCAAGGGCTAGCCGCTGTGGAGAAAGGACGGAGTGGGAAGGCTGACTTGGCAAAGGATCTTGGGCATAAGAGGAAGGACATACTGCCCAATGGAGCAGTCCATTCAATATTGGAAGGCTGACTTCCTCTGGAAAAAAAGCCAAGTCCAACTGCCCAGCTATGTTTGCAAGTGTAATTAGGGTGTTTTCCCGCAGTATATGCAGAGTATCCCACCACCACTCCTGGTCCCCATTCAAACTACTACAAGAATCATCTTTGATCATGTTGTCAACGTCTTCTTCCCGATCATAGTAACGCTGAGGAGGTTTACGAGGAGAATGTACATGGTGCAGAAGCAACAGCCTTCCCAGCACCAAAAGAAGACCAGGATGTTTGGACATCTCTGTATCATTACCTGGCACAAAAGAAAGATTATAAATTAAAGTTGATAGGCAAAGACAACGTCTGGCTAAGCTGTCTTGACCATCACTAATTACACAAAGGGAGGGCACATCACGAGTGCAAGTTTCTTCCTCTAGATCGCCGTCTTTTGGACGTTTCCGTGCAGAAGGTGGTGTTCTGATTCTAAGAAAATTGTCCTTGCTAGATGTTCCTCTTTCTACTTGTTTATTTGCAGAACTATCAACAGTTTCTACATTTTCATTACTTGTGCTCTTTTCTAATTCTCCTTTCACCTCTAAAGCCTCTTTCTCCATCTTTGGTGATTTACAACAGTCTTCTCTATCTTTAAATTTATTTTCATCTGGTTGGCTCTCATCTTCTGATTTTATCACAGGTTTCATTTTATAGTCCAATTCACCCTGTTTTACGTCAACTGGGTTATCAACCACTTCAACTTGCTCCTTGAATTCATTTTCGTTAGGTTTAGAGTCTTCTAGTATTCTTGCATACTTGACAAAAGTTTCCATGTTTTCAAAGTTAGTCTGAATATGTTGACTTGAATCGCCACCTCCAAGCTGCCAATGTTCCAAACCACTGTCAAATTTTTCATGCACATCCCATTTTTTGTCTGGGTCAATAAGAAACAAAGATTCAGACTGTTTCACACCAACAGTCTTACCCCATTTTGTCCTCTTGGTATAATTTATACTTTTGAATAGCACAGTTTTATCATTTTGATCAATGCTGTTGAAAGAACTCGTATCCAAGTCACTACTTTTATCAAAAACATCTTTCTGTAGTTTAAACCACAGCTTTTCTACTTGATTTGCTTCGCTACCAAGAAGCTCTTCAGTCTTCTGACTCCAGTCCTCAAAGCCAATCTCTAGATCATCAGTAAGACCAAATATAAGATTAAGACAGCGTCTGTAATGTTCCAGAAGCACCTCTAATAATCCTGGTAGATGGCTTAGTCCAAAGTACAGCACAGAGATATCATCATATAGAAGTACAGACAAGACATCCAGAGACCAAGTACTTTCGGCCAACAATCCAGACTTCAAGGACATCATGAGACGCCATGCCTCTACTGGGCTTACATCCTTGAATGTTAACTTCTTCCGCTTTGTAAGCAGTGGTGCCACACCTTCTACTGTGTCCGGAGGAAAAATTATTTCTTTTCTTGGCTGAGTATACAATGAACCATGGATCATCCCAGCAGGGGGCTGAAACAAAAATAAATAATATATATATATATATATATTTGCTATCTTACAAATAAGAGCTTTAACTTTATTTTCCTAAAAAAAAAAGACTGAAATCTGTCAGAAAGCTCAAATAAACAGAATTTCCTGTGATTAGAGTACACAAGCTTATTAAGTAATTTTAAACATAATAGTAGTACTAGTGAAATCAAAGAAATTTCATGTAAACAGATCATGCTGTAATCAGACAGGCTTAATTTGTACTAATCAAGCCTATTCTGTTTTGTTCCAAAATTTTTCTTAAACTTTATCATAGTTAATGTAACACTCGGTACAAGTTTTATGTTTACAGGTCCAGAAACGTAGAGCATGGGACTGTTTCGGCCCTCTCAAGTTGCTAGGCCTAACTTTCCCCTTTGAAAATAAATTCAATACAATTCTTTAAATATCATTAAGATCAACTACTCAACAACTTATAATAGGCATATGAAAAAACATTAAACAAAGTTGTGAAACCTCATTGTTTATATTATAAAGTGACAAAAACCTCTTTTATTAGGCTCAATATTACTAGCTCATTTTAAACCAAATATTTCACAAAAGAACTAAATTTAAAAACACAATGAATAATTATAATATCAATTTGTTCTTGCTGTTTTTCTTTCTTTCTTTCTAGATATGGCAAGTATAATTGTTCTTTATGTTTTAGTCCTCTACAAACTTTGTGGTCTTTGTATGCCCGAATTAATCTCCAGTAGATTAACCAAAGTATTTAAAAAACAAAATGTATAAAATAGATTTAAAATTCAAATTAAGCCATATTGACATAACCCAAGGCAATAGTTTCAGCATTCTCGAATTTCTTACCTGGATTTTGTTAGTTGAAGAAAACATTCTGTCAGAGCTGTGTGGTGTTTTGCCTGCCATAACAACAGATTGTGGAGGGAATGGTTCCCCCTGATGGCCGAAGCGTGACATTCCCCAAGAATTAGAACCACCTTGCCAAACTTCCCTATGCGAGTAATGGTGACTTGACGAGGAATATTGATGATACTGGTTTTCCCGTGGCCATCCTGATTTAATAAAAAAAATTAGGTACCATTTTGTGAAGTAAAAATCAGATTATAAATAATATGACATTCATTGTATTCTTTCTAATTTATTTACAGATATGCTTATCTTAAGTGTCAGACGAGGTCTTCCATGTATTGGTATAACAGAACCACCTCCACAAACAATGTTATACAATACATGAAAACTGACTACTCAAACATAAATTATTCATTTTACCTTCATGTTCTATTACTTTTATTATGCATATAAAAATGTTTAGTATGTTACATTAAAACGATTTTGTAGTTGCCATTACATTACAGTCCTTTTCTATCTGATGACTATGCATCTTGACAATAGTCTTACAGCACAGTTTCCACTGTAAGGCTGTTATGTCCAAAGTGCACACCCACTCCTCCTTGCTTCCTTTCCACAAGCCAAGTGACAGTGGTTTCTCAACACCAATTTCAACAATCCAAATGGATAGAAATCCACATGTGTTGCATCCAGTGACTTGACCAGTGTTTTAATGTGGAATACCGGTTTTATTCTCCAGCTGCTTGAGGTAGATGACAGTTGAATGGAAGCCACTTGTGTACAGGTGAAGATAGATTTTTTCCAGATTATGTTACGACTGTCGCCTGAAGCACATGGATGGTTTTTTGTCACTGGCTCGCCTTTGTGTTCTGGGGTTCTCGCCTATTACAAGACACCATACGGTGCTTTCCATGGCTGGTTACAGATCTCTGTTTTGGATGGCCCTGGTGTCTCTCTGAATGTTTGAATATCTTGTGTCGAAAAGGGATGTCGTTACATATTCTTCTTGAGTGATACATTTTCAGTGGCATCACACTATACACAATAATGCTAAACAAAGTCAAAACGTTCTTCCGATACCTGACATTCCATGCTACTCTATATAGACATTGGTTGTCGGGTGGCTTGCCGATTTCCACATTTTAATATAATTTACTCAACCCCCATGTGAGCCATCAAAAGGATTTGCAACAGAAGCACATTTACCTAAAGCAATGATCACCTTTAAACATTTTAACAACACATCAATAGCTTTGAATCAGACAACATGTAAATGGATTTGTTTTGAAAATGTCATTTTACTGAAAATAATCCTGCTAGTCTTGGGAAGACATGTTCACAAACATACTAATAAAAGATTTAGGTTCTCATTACTATTCAACAAACAGAATGTAAAACCCTTATATTAGCCTATTTCCAACTACATTTAAAATTAAGTTTTGCTATAGAACCATTTAAGTTCTTTATAGAATGAAATCAAATACCTTGATGATTAGGTCCCAACCCTTGAGCACTTCGGAAATACTGATTGCGATCTATGAAACAAAAATTACATTTTTAATGTATAAAATAGGCCATAAGTTATCTAAATTTAATTATATACAAAATGTTGCTATATAAAAAAAAAAAGTTCAAGAAATTATAAGAAGTATTTCTTTCTGACTATAAAATATCACACAACAGAAACAGTTAGGTATGTACATAACAATTTTAGAGTAACGTACGACCCTTTAAATATAGTTTATAACTAATAAATACCGATTTATTGCTGGTAAAAAGTTTTTCTACTCAGTTGTTCCAATTATAAAAAAACTACAGTGTATTAAAATAATCATGTTTATTTCAAATTACAAGTTACTTTTGTGGAAAACTTAATTTCTTTCAAAACTCGAGATCATTCACCGACGAATGAAGTAAGAAACTGGAATTTCATTTAATTAAGAAAATTAACTTTCTAGAGCTTCACAATAACAACAGGAGATAATTTAAACTTAGGGCTAGTAATAAATTTGATAATATAACAATCAGGTTCCATGTACTTGAAATATACAATTTCATTTACACAGAATTCTTCCAACATTTTAAAAGAAATAACACTCAATAGTGATGTAAAATTAGTATCTAGACTAGATGTACTGTGCAGGGTCCCCAAAAGTGTTCTCTGTCGAGAGTAAATAAAACCAAAATTAAGAGTAACAAATATTTTTATTTCTTGTTTTTGAAGTTCCTATGTTATGCTGTGTTGTAGCCTACAGTGTATATAATTCTTCTCATGATTCATGGCATGCACACGTTTTACTGATGTCATGACAGTGCAAAGTGTGACATTAAGCATCCCTTATGTGACATCATTTCTGTGTCTACCAACTGACTGACAGACAACACACTACTGTATAGTGGTGCAAATGGTTAAAATAAGTGACACCTCCAGGGCCCCATTTCAGGGAAATCAGTTCTGAACATAGACAAGATAATTGTTGTTCTATGCTAAGTGTCCGTGCAATAACTAACCTCCTTGGGTTTGCTGATGTCCATAGCCTCCTGCCATTGCATACTTCTCTTGATTTATCATCTGTGGTCGACAAAACTCTGGAGGTTGTTTATATCTATCTGGCTGGTACATATCACGTTGAGAGTTATTAGGGAGAATGACTTTACTTTGTGCAGCCACACCATGGTTGTAAGTTGCCGGCTGTGTTGGTGGATAACCCTGATAGATGGATAAAGAAAATGCAAGTTAAGTAATACTTTAATGCAAGATTTTTTTTGTTTTTATTAAACAGAATAGTTAACGTTTCAAGGTTTAAAAACAATAACTAACAAAACATAAACTAAAAATATAAAAAAAATTCCAAGATTTAAGTCTAAGAAGGAAAAACATATTACACTTCAGACCTTGAAGACTGTTGTTTTTAGATATTAGTTTAAACTAGATAGTAGCTAGTCAACACTGCCAGTTCTTGGGCTACTCTTGTCTGACCTAATAGTGGAACATAACCTTCATCCTTATAACGCACACAGTAATGGAATACAAGTGATGGATTGGCAGATCCACAGTCTGGCACACTGAGTCACACTTGGCCCCAGGCTTGAAGAAAGCAGTGCCATAAACCAAAGTGACCATACGTTTCGGCCACTGTGCCTCAACTCTTTTAAAAAATAAAGATGTATTTCCTGATGCATCATGATTGAAAGCTATATATATATATTTTTTTTTTCCACTACTGGAACAATAACTCTACATTTTGTTAAACTTTTGCTTTGGATTCTTTCCTTTACAACAATTCTGCATTGGTGTGGCTTAAGAAATCCTTTAATTACTTTGAAGTTGGTGGTCTTTTTTATTGGTATAAGTTAATTTGTTCAACAAAATAAACCATATAGATATTTACAAAATGTTAGGAATTTATTAGGCAACGGCATTAAGTGAAAATCAGATTTTGCAGCAAAAATCTTTAAGAAAAAACAAATAAAACAAAATAATAAGAATTTAAGAAAGAAAAATAATCATTACTGCTTAAAAACAAAACTATGAGATTTCAGAATCTCTCTCTCTAAACACAACAATAAAGAAAATGATAACGGTTTAAAACCTTTTTAAACACACACAAAAAAAAAACCTTCTCTTTATTTGAAGTAGTCCTCTATACCTGAGTGTTTTGTGATAAGATTTGCTGGGCTACTTTTGGTAGTATTCTTTGAGCTAGAGCAGACTGCATCTGGGACAATGAACTCTGAGGACACAAGAAGTATTATTTTATTCGCACCTGTTTACAAGTTCACTTGACAAACCTAAAATATCATATCACACTAGGTGGACATTTTCAAAAAATAAGGGTCCTAACACCAACTTTTATGTACCGCCAACTATTATCTTACAATAAAACATTTAAAAAATGCCCGCAGCTCCCCCCCCCCTTATATACTAAAACCAGCAATAACAATGTAAGTGGTCAATGATTTCATATTAACTTCCATCACTTTAATATCCTACGCTTAACATAACCTTTCACAAATTCCAGACCCAGCATTGTATTCGTAGTTAAATACAGCATAATGTTCCTTTTGTAAATATTAATCTTCAACAAGCAAGTTTATTATTCAGCTGTAACTTAATCTAACATTTTTCCATGAACTAATGTATTTTTTGATCTTTCTCATGCAACTTCATATACGTCATCGAATTACTAAATAATATTAGATGAAAAACCATTATATTATGTCCAAAACACTATTAACTTAAGGAGACTTATTAAGCTAGACATGTGACTTTTGGAAATTTTGGCTGAGTGTCCTAAGATTTTGCCCCTGTTGGATTCCTACTGGCCTAAACTGATTTCATACTTTTTCTGACAAGCTAAAATGCATTTCTTGGATATGTTCCGAAAGAACGGTGCGTATTCATCTCTATTTCTCACCATTCCCATCAACACTTGCATTTTAACCGACCTGCAAATGATTCCGAGATTTCTACAAGAGCCATTTAGCTTAATCTTTACACAAGTTTTATCGTTCTTAGGAGGTACTTGATTGGCTATTCCATAATAAAATACACAAATCAGATGCTGCTGTGCATCTCCATGTAACTTATGACCTCTCTTTTTTGTTTATTCCTGGTGTATTGAAACTTGATTTTATGGTCATAGTTACATGCTAAAGGAGCTTTTTAGCATCAGCCAAAGCCCAGTCTTTCCTCCCTCCAACTATGGAGTCCTGTTGCAACATGCACGTCATTGTGGCACCATCTTTTATTTTCAAACTGTTGACAACTAATTGGCAGCAACCTAATAGTAATTTATACGTTATTTAATTACGTATTAATTTATTTATTTTTACCTCATACCATTATAACTCCTTATGTATTTTTTACACCAAGTTTCTAATGTAAATAACATGGAATTATGCTTTTAATATACAATAATGACTGTTCAACATTATAACAACAGGACAACCTAATGCAAGCCCAGCCTAGCATGGATAACGTGTTATGTAATTGCATAAATTCATCCAAGTTAGCCATTGTATTGTTAAAATAATTGAAATAATTAGATTATCAGTAAGAAATGAAAAATAATATAAGTATATATATATACAAATTGGTTTTTAAATTAAAAAAATTCTGAAAGCTTAACTTTGTCCCCTACAGTTTTTTTTAAATTAATAGGGGAGATTTTTTTAATAGACGTAGAAAACTTTATAATTTTGTTGCTTGGAATCTTTTTTTAAGATGTGCAGGTCTGGAGGAAATTTGAATGTCTGTATCAGATTAACGAATTGTATAATGATTTACTCGTTATATCTTACTAAATTATTTTTTTTATAACACTTAGAACCTTAAACACTTCCTAACCTGGTAATTACTGTGAACTTCAGGAGCACGATATCCCTCTTGCTGTCCCTGGGGATACTGGTTTTGACCAGGAGATTGAGGGACACTAACTGTTGGAAATTGGCCAGGGTGGACACCAGGAGCTGAAGACATACGACTCTGATAAGGTGGCTGTGTAGGTACGGTCTCCCTCGACGTTACCATCACTTGTTGAGAAGGATATCGTTGCTGTGCAGGAAACAGACTTGTATCATTCTGTGAGGGACAAACCTGAGATGGAGGTCCAGTTACTGGAGTCTGCTGCTGTTGGTCGAACCTACCAAAATATCAACATACGTTTGGAAATTAAGAAAGATAAAAACATCCAAAAATTTGCTTTTCCATATAGGTCACTGTCAAAAAAAAAAATAATCAGGAGTATTATTGATTTTCTCGTCGGTTTTTGGAATAAATGATGCAAACAATTTAGTTACAAATAATTCGTTACACTACAACTTTAACTTAAAAACTGATTTACTGAAGTACTAATATCAATATATCCACATGATTTACAAAGATTTGACAAAAATGGATAATAATATAATAAAACTAAATACAAAAGGAAATGCAAATTTTTCTGTGACAAGAAAAGGACTGGCCAGAAGAATATGTTTTTACCTTTTACTGTGACGAAAAAAGGACTGGCCAGAAAAATATGTTCTTACCTTTTATTGTGACCAAAAAGGTCTGGCTAGAAGAATATGTTATTATATTTTACTGTGACTAAAAAAGGACTGGCCAGAGGAATATGTTCTTACCTTTTACTGTGAAAAAAAAAGGACTGGCTAAAAGAATATATTCTTATATTTTACTGTGACTAAAAAAGGACTGGCCAGATGAATACTTTTTATATTTTACTGTGACAAAAAAAGGACTGGCCAGAAGAATACTTTTTATATTTTACTGTGACTAAAAAAAGAACTGGCCAGAGGAATACTTTTTATATTTTACTGTGACAAAAAAGGACTGGCCAGAAGAATATGTTTTTATATTTTACTGTGACTAAAAAAAGAACTGGCCAGAGGAATACTTTTTATATTTTACTGTGACAAAAAAAGGACTGGCCAGAAAAATATGTTCTTACCTTTTACTGTGACGAAAAAAGAACTGGCCAGAAAACTATATTCTTACCTTTTACTGTGGCCAAAAAGGACTGGCTAAAAGAATATATTCTTATATTTTACTGTGACAAAAAAAGACTGGCTAGAAGAATATGTTATTATATTTTACTGTGACCAAAAAGGTCTGGCTAAAAGAATATATTCTTATATTTTACTATGACTAAAAAAGGACTGGCTAGAAAAATATATTCTTACCTTTTACCGTGACCAAAAAGGTCTGGCTAGAAGAATACTTTTATATTTTACTATGACTAAAAAAAAGGACTGGCCAGAAGAATATGTTCTTACCTTTTACTGTAAAAAAAAAGAACTGGCTAAAAGAATACATTCTTATATTTTACTGTGACAAAAAAAAGACTGGCTAGAAGAATATGTTATTATATTTTACTGTGACTAAAAAAAAGAACTGGCCAGAGAAATACATTCTTATATTTTAATGTGACTAAAAAAAGACTGGCCAGAGGAATACTTTTTATATTTTACTGTGACTAAAAAAAGACTGGCCAGAGGAATACATTCTTACCTATTACACTGACAAAGAGACTAATACAGAGACTGTGTTCTTAATTTTTCCTGTGCTACAGAAACTAGTAAACAGAATGAACCAATACACTTTTTAGTCACAGGATAACTGGAAGGGAAAACAGAGGCATACCTCTTCTCTGGATGAGATGGATAAAAACAAACAAAAAAAAAGGTCTTGCACAGCTTACTTTAAAATGAAAAGAGTCACGGGCTCAGAAAAAGAACAATTTTTGCATGAGGTTATTAGACAGAAAATGAACTGTTATTCAACTTTCTTGTGGCAGAAACTGGGGAGGAACAAATGTTTCTACCTACTGCTTCTTTGTTATAGGAGAATTGGAAAAATAAAAGTATTTTATCGTGGTTTACATATTAGTATGGAGAGTAAGTGCCTAATCACCTTTCTCTGTCATAAGGAGCTTGATAAGGAGAAAACGGTTGCAGTGGCAGCTGAGTGGCAGTTCTACTTGGTGGGAAACCAGCTGGTGGAAGACTGTAAGTGTCATTTCTGTTCATGTAGTTACCATCTGAAGTCATCATGGTAGCCTGGGGAGGAAACTGCTCTGGATGAGGCTGGGGAGCACCACTAAACCCATAAGTACCACCACTCATTGCAGACTGGGTGCCACTATATGGAGGACCCGTGTTGTTGACTGGTGCTTGCATGTAGCCATAAGATTCAGCAGTCGGATGGCGAGAATACTGAGCATTAGGGATGGCACCTTCAGGACCCATCGGTCCGATATGGTTTGGTATATGGCTGTGTTGGGGTGTAGGCTGAGGATAATGTGGGTGCTGACCCTGTACTGAAGTAGGGTAATCAGAGTTAGGCATGCCCCCTACCCTCATGTGAGGGGAAGCTCCAGGATGATAAGAACCAGGATACCCTCCTGGGTGATAACCATCCACGGTCTGGCTATTTGGTGCTGGATGAGGGAAGTGTTCCTGAGTATTAGTATCTACAAAAGAATCAAACATGGACATTTATCAGTTTTAAAGCTTTCCGAGAAACTCCACAATAGTGGTACATGAAACATCACCCTAGCATTGATTCAGTAAGACCGTTTGTTTTTAAGTAAATCTTACTTAGCCGATACATAAATATTAACGGAAAAGTTAACAAAAGTAAAAATCGGATATTCAAATTGAAAGAACCTCTACAAAGATTAAACTGTTCTCTTATTATATCTCCCAACATATCTTCCAGTTGTGTTAACTAATTGCTAGATGGTGTAGAAGGTGGAGTACTGTAATAATTATCATAATAACAATTACTTTTTGTTTGATGATGTTTAGGTGACGTATCAGGCAAGTTTACGTTTAATTTTATTCACTAAATATTTAGCCGACATATAAACACTTGAACCTGATGATGTTCTCTACAAAAAAAAAAGTATTATTGTTTAATAATTTAACCTGCATTACTAATGAGAACAAACAAGCAACCTCAACTTGAAGTAACATAACACTTCTTACACAAAAACATCTAAACAGACTTTGTGCAATGAGTAACTATGTCAAAGTAGAAAAGTTTACAAAATTCTGAAGTTCACAGTAGCTTGTGTATGTGTACACACACACTAACCCTTTAGGGACATACTTTTTTCAATCGTATCACACTCAAAATCATCGTCAGATAATTCAGGTTCTGAGTAGGACTTATCATCAGTTTCCAGTAGTTCAATCGTCTTCAAGTGTGAAAAACTGGAACAATTTGATGTCATTTTGGATCCACCATTTTCTTAAAAATTAAATAACTTTTAACTACATCGGGCCTTTCTTCTCCGAGGAATGTGCAAATTAGTTTAACAGGGTAGGAGTACACATAATCATCTATTAGGCTGAAGTAAGGACCTACTGCCCTAGCAAAATGAATGGTCAAAGGATATGGAGGTCAGTACTGATTTCTATACAAAAGTAGAGTTGGACCTGCTTCCAGATGTTCTTTAAAAAATACATACCTGTGGTCTGGCTGTAGGGTAAGAGAAACTTGTATATCAAAACTGCTCCACGTGTTATTGGTATCACTGCGAGTGAGACATTTAGTGTCTTGCAGTGCGAGTCATACGAACCTCACTAGATGCACGGTCTTTGGAAGCCTACTTCTAATTATTTACTGATGTAGTGTGAAAATGCGATTAATCTTGGAGCAGATACCTATGACGGTGGTGAGCTAGGATTGAAATATAGCAGAATGCACCATTACTATTTTGAAAGAGGTTTCACATTCTGCTGACGACACTCGTAGAAGCTCACTGAAACTGGACAGCTTCAACATCTCTTATAACTCTCGACCAGTGACTTCTTAAGAGGATTAGTCTTGGACAACATCCAAAGGTTAAGATCCGAGATTCACTTCAGAGAGACATCTAGGTGAGGAGATTGTGTCGAACCACAATATACGGCACAGCTGGGCGACCAGTCATTTAAATAACAATAATCTGAGCAACATAATTATTGTAAGACTATAATACTGCAAATTTCAATTTTCCTTTAATTATCTGTGCAGTCTATAACACTTAAATTCTAAGCTTTATAAAGTCTTGAACTACAATATATAAGGTATAAATGATACTTGAAACTGCCACTAATTGGTGAAACTCCATAATTACACGATTAGGTATGGTATATCACCAAAAAAATAAAAAGATATAGAGAGAAATAATTCAATTAAACTAAAGACTTAAACCAAAACCAAAACTTACTTGAATTATTTGCAGCATTTTTGCTCTTCTTTTTTGAAGCAGCTTCAACTTGCTGGATGATTGGCAGCGGATCGACTCCTCCTCGGTCAAACTTGCACTCATAAGGTAAGAGGTGCTTAATGTACTGTTTCCTTAAAGTGTATGCAGCACTGGACGATGCTCCAATGCCTATTGACCCTGCCACGTCCTTCCAGTTCTTGGACTTTGTGACCTATCCATTCAAAAAGAAATTCTGATTGTTTTTACCCCTGTTGCTTCACACTTAAAAATGTCCAAATTTCAATATTCTGATGTTAGTACTCCACTGACTTGGATGTATTTTTAGGTTCCCACTTATTTCTGTGCTGCTGTACCTTCACTATAAAAACATGTTCAGTATTATTCTGGGCCCCCACTTATTTCTGTGCTGCTGTACCTTCACTATAAAAACATGTTCAGTACTATTGTGGGCCCCCACTTATTTCTGTGCTGCTGTACCTTCACTATAAAAACATGTTCAGTACTATTGTGGGCCCCCACTTATTTCTGTGCTGCTGTACCTTCACTAGACCAACTTCATTTTGAATATTATTTCAAGACTCTGACGATGAAAAAGTGATGCTATTCAAGGTTATTACTGGTCAGGTACGAACCTCGATCAGGTGGAAAATCTGCATTCTCAAAAATAGGAAGTCTTAGATGGAATATACAAAATAATGTTATAAAATCATAATGTGAAATCATTTGAAATGAAATCTTGAAGAAAATCTTTCTTAATTTTATGTTTTCCCATTTTTATGTAGTTAAATAGCCAACCTTCGAGCCAAAATAAAAACTTTATAACATCCGCGCTAATCCTAAACATCACATCTTTTAACCTACTACGACGGTTCAACCAAATAATACAAAGGAACTTACAGTATTAGAGAGAAAATAAGATCACTGCAATATGTCAATTTACTTTAAAAAAATGATTAGGATGAACTGATACATCACAAGGTAAAAATAAATAAATGAACTGAGAAAATAAATACAAATTATGTAAATTTAACAAAAAAGGAGTGGGAAGAAAACAAACCAATGAAATATACAATAATACGCTGTTCATCCCATTACTTTTATTTCGTGTTACACAGCTCAACCTTAAATTTACAATAAAACTTTTAATAGAATTTCATGTTTCTTGAAACATGCTCTAAAAAGTGGCAATCAACAGTTGGATTTTACAGCCACAATTCTGGCCTAGGAACCACTAGGTTCTCAACAGTTGGATTTTACAGCCACAATTCTGGCCTAGGAACCACTAGGTTCTCAACAGTTGGATTTTACAGCCACAATTCTGGCCTAGGAACCACTAGGTTCTCAACAGTTGGATTTTACAGCCACAATTCTGGCCTAAGAACCACTAGGTTTTTGAGAAAAATTGTTTGTCTGGAACCCAGCTCCTGAACCGAAAAACAAAAAAAACTGAAATGCTATAATCTGAATTTTATAAACATAAAACCCCATACCTCTTCAAAGCCTCCTCTTTCCTTCACTGACAGATACAACCTGTATAGATCTAGAGGTTGTTTGCAAATAGCTGGACACTGGGTTAAAGGAGTTCCTCTGTCTTGACTGAACAGTACAAGTCTATCTAGGAATGGTTTTCTGTCAGGATCAGCAGACAAATCATACAGAATTCTTACTGAGATCTACTTCTGGTCATCGGCTGAATTTTTTGAACTTAGACCAACCACTTGCTAAAGAAATCTGTAAATTTTTACGTAACAGCCCGAGAATTAACAATGGATGATGATGATTAGCTGCTGTCCCTCTAGTCCTTCACTACTAGCACAGATAGCTCTCGTGTAGCTTTGCACGAAATTGAGAACAAACCAAGCTATTAGTGTTTATTTGCCACATCGTTTCAGAGTATCGTAAAGAAAGACGGATTTAGGGGAAATGAAATACATCATTTCTGATTCTGAGGTTTTCTTTTAATGATTTTAACCAGCTAAATCAACCGGTATATCAGTTTCATCTGCTAGATACTTGGTTATTAGCTAAAAAGCAGTCTATCACAAAAAGAAGCAATTTTTGTTGTTGAGTGTGGATCACCTGTCTTTGAGAAATTCTAGGTAAGTTGACCATGGTACAATTACTTTCCGTCACCTTTTCCAGAGACCCGATGGATTGCTAAAGAAGCCAAGTCTCTCAATCACCTAGCTAACTGTAACAATGCAGAAGATAATCTGAAGATCAAACACTCTATGATCAGATGTACATTTAAATAAATGATTAGCCAGATTTCTCAAGCAACTAGCACAAATGTAAACGATAATCAGAAGCATAGCTTTTATCAAAATTCAGCCAGGTTTCTCATGATGCCAGCATAACTTTAAGAAATATAACTATCATATCGATAGGACATATTTCTATACGAAATAAAAGTTTTTTGATATAACCAAGAAACATATGAAAATACCAACAAGATTCTAAAAAAGGCTAACTTTCTTCAAAATCTTGGCCATGTTTTCAACACGGCTAGCTTATCTTTCAAAAGAAGCTAAACTAAAATTCATATATTTTACATATGTAAGATATATTACAGGCACATTCAGACACTAAAGACAAAACGATTTTTTACAGTTTTTGAGCAAAGATTTTTTGTTAAGAAACATTAGATCTGCATGCTTTACTCGCTGGAAATCCACATAGTAGACGTATAAAACCTCGTCTCTTTTTTCGATTATTTTCCCTTCACAAAAATACTAATGACTTGAAAAAAAAAATATATTTTTTTTGAAAGTAGTGCAAGACATACCATCACAGTACAATCATACTTCTAAAATTACAGCGGAAACATGACTTCTGAAATGCCAATTCTTTGAAAAAATTCAACCAATCTATATCAGGTTGTTTATCAGTGTATTAACACAATAAAACTACATAAAAAAATAAAGTCTAGTACCTTAACAATGGGGTGGTCATATGTCTGGTTGTTTACCATCTGAAAAAAATGAAAAGAATTAAATTATGAAGTGACATCAGAAAGTTCCGGAAGGTTGTTTAGTGCAGTCGAAAGTTTTTGTAAAAAAAATCATATCACTTTACACAAAATAACTAAAAATTGTATCAAATTTACATAAATGACAAGTTCATATAGGAATAACTTACAGTATCAGATTTTCAGTACATATGTATGTGTGTCTCTCTCATCTAATTCAGGTTCAAAGGTTATGGATAACAATTAATCAAAGGTTAACAGACAGTGAATAACCTATATGAAGGACCGTAACTATTTTGATTATGGTTACCGAATATTAATTTAACACGGCATGAATTTCTCATACTCTCTCTCTCTTGATTTGATGGCCTTTCACGCTCGAAGTAATGTTCTGTAAGTTGCAGAATATGTTGCTTTAACTACACAATTTCTGTTTATCAGGTAATAAAGATTTTACTTTAGTATATAAAAGAACAAACTTCTCATTTTCAGTCAAGTCGATAACCAAACAAAATTTAAAATGTTCATATTTCTTTGTCTTTTGGCCCTTCTTTCAAACGTTAGCGATCACAACAAATGAAATTAGACCAGTTCAACACTGCACAAAGTTACTTTGGATGTAAAAATCCTAATTAAACATCTGTTTTCTAATGAATTAAAGTATTTGACAAAGGTTACATCAGGGGGATATATAATACTACTAATGAGATTTCTAAGGGATTGAAATCCTTGTTATATGCATATCTAAGCAACATTGTTGAAAGGAAGCGAGTCTCTTTAATGTTAAATTATTATAATCCTTGGTTTGTAACTATTCTCAGAAAAAGAACATGAAATGTTTAAATTAAATTAGTTTAGTATTCACTGTTTTAACTATGATAAAATATGGTGTTACATCTTGTTAAACTAAGGTTCATTTCTTATTCCATTCTCTATGTAAAAAAGGTAAGGTATTGTTTACCCATAATTCAAGTAAACACTTCGGCACTTACAATTTACATAATGTTAAGGGATGCTGAAAAGTGGAAAAATATTTTTGTTCTGAAACGTTTCCAT